GGATTTGATCACCCTTACGATATGTCCTTAATGTATTGTATCCTATACAATGAGCAAGAGTGGTGGCGGAGCAACTCCACCAAGGACAATTTCCAAACTAACACCGCAAAGGTCAACAACATCATCCATATTGCTATGAGATATTTTTCCCGACTTCTTCAATATGTCGTATTCTTCAAGGAAAACCTCGGCTCTATGGTGAAAGATGAGGTAGCTTGCCTCTTCTTGGCCGACAATCCTTAGCACCTGAAGTTCCAATGCTCTTCTTTTATCTCGAGACTATTGGAAATTCGTGATGGCCGCCTTGGTGACGAGATTCACCTGGGGGCATACAAGGACTAAATCGAACTACTTTCCCATGTGCTCCAAATCAAAGAGTAATTAGTCGAAGGCTTTCCTCCTTATGCTCTCTCTATCATTGCTCTCCGCCAACAATGTTTCATTAACTACACCACCAACCAACGTAAGTATATGCTCTTGGTGGATAATGGGGATGAATGGTGTGTCCCTCCGAACCCCCCCTCTCACTTCGGTAGATCCTTCAAACCTTCTAAGATGGAAGATCGCTCGGAAGTTCATCCCCAATGAATAGAGGAAGAACCAAGTCCGAGGTGCAATTCCACACCCTCAGCCGGTCTACCAAGTGGAGCAACCCGTTCCCCCCCTCCCCGTAGTGGGGGAGGTGAGACATCTTCTTCATCTTGCCTTCCTCCATTTTATTTGAATGCTATCCGTAGTACCCTCGAGGATATCCGCCGTGATAATCAAGCTTCCATTGAACAATGGGGGTACTACGGAAGGATGAATTACGGTAATCTTGTGCAAGTGGGCGTTCAAGCGCCCTATGTTAACTATCCTTACCACCCACGTCAAGAAGGTCCATTTCCAAATTGGGGTCCCTATAATCCTAGCAACCCCACCCCCAACGGCTATCCCAATTGGGAAAGGCCTATCGACCCATCCCAACGTGTTGGTACCCCACCATACAACTCGTATCGTGCGGGTGGGTGTGATCCAGCCAATGATCCGATATCTATTTCAACCCCGAACCCCTTTGATGGTGGATGGGGTGGCCAAGGGTGGCCCTATGAACACTTCAACCAACCTTTCCCATCCATTCATGGATACTCCCGGGTTTGATTTCGATAACCCTACTCCGGAGCAAAGAGATAGGAACCCGTAATGAGGGTTCCCTCCCTTCTCTTCCTTCCCCCGGAATTCCTTGCCTTAACTTTTGCTTGAGACATGCAAAAGGATAGTGTGGGGGAGGATGGTCCTTTTGGTAGGTTGAAGTGTACATAGGAGGGCAGTGTGGTAAGATAGTAGCTTGTGCATATGGAGAGCCATGGAGGATAGTTGATTTTGTTGTAGTTGGTGATGATTTTTGGTTGGTTTTTGATGATGATGATGATGTATTGATGATGATAATGATTTTTATGATGATGATTTTAATTGATAATTGATGAGTTTTGAGTTTTGTGTAGACAAAGATGCTCCCAAAGAGAAAAATCCAAACTCCCAACAATCCAAGTTCCCTTAATCCAAACTTTGTAGATAGCTTTTTGATTTTCCATTTTCTCTTTGTTCATAACTCTAATATTTTTCTTTGTTTACTAACTTTTTCTTGTTAAATTGTAGTTTCTTTTGTTTGGGCTCACTTTCCATGTAGCTTGAAGAATGAGGACAAAAAGGAAAGCTAAGGAGCGGCACAAGCTCCCTCGGTGAGATTGCATAATTCTCTTGTCTTCTAATTCAAGCGGCATTTGGTGAGACCTTTCCTCTCTTTTATTTTCTCTTGTGTGCATATTTAGTTATATTAGGATGGAATTGATTGTTCGAGGTTGTATGCATTTGATTTTGCGGAATCTAGTGATCGTTGGTTTGATGTTAAACGATCTTTGTTTGTCGATTGGGAATTAAATGTTTACTTGCCTCTTATCACTTTTATTCTCCTTCCTCTTTGAAAAAACAAAAAGAAAAAAAAAATTGATAATTGGAAAAAAAAGGAAAAAAATATGTTCTTTTTGTTCAAGACAAACCACAAAATCTTTAGTGTTTCATCTTCACTTTGAGCATAATAAAAGTTAATTTGCGTGATTTAATGTCTTTATTGCTAAGTGCTTAAAGTTAACACGCTTCGGGATTGCCGTCGGTTGACTCTAGGATAGCTCATGCTAAGGTAGCCGGTTTAGAACTCTTAAAGCCCATCGAACCCAATTTCACTTGTTTCTGATAAGAAGGTGTTGCTCTGATTAGGGGATTTGAAGCCCTAGAGGTAGTTTTTGTAACCCGATGTGAGTTTTATTATTCAAGACTCCAACAATTTTTGTTTGAGCGGCGTAGGATCCTTACCAAGGCATGCTTAGATCTAGTTTTTAGTGTTTAGCTTTCCGAGATCGCGACCGAGCTAACTTAGGGATGATAAAGAGCATTCTTCATTCAATGACTATTTTATTTTCTACGATTAGCTTTTATTTTATTTTCTCTTGTATTTTGTGTTGCATTTCCTTCTTTTTCTTACCATGTTGAGCCTTCCCCTCCTTGACTATAGCACATTACAAGCTCATGGCCTTTTGTTTTGTTGTCACCCTTAGTATCGTGAAACTCAAGCCAGAAACTTAACGACGTTTTGATTTGAAATTTTAGGAGGCAAGGGTCCTTATGGAAAGAAAAATAGTGATGTTGTGAATATATGTTTAAATAAAAGCAAGTGTAATTTATAGAAAAAGCCGTCCATAGTTATGAAAAGGCATGGATGTATTAAATAAAAAAAAAAAAAAGATTTTGTAAGATGGAAAAGAAAAAAAAAAGAGAAAGAATAAAGAGTTGTTGAATGATAATAGAAATTTAAAAATGTTTGGCACTGTTATTCAAGGTTGTGGCAATATAGTTCAAATTGGTAGAAATTTAATTTTGGAAAAGAGGCTTGATCACACTTTGTTTCACGATTAGGCTAAGCACCAAACCACACCTTTACCCACTAGCCAACGTTACAACCCTCTTAATTCTCTTTTGACTTAGGAAAGTTGAGTCACTAGTCGGTGGAGGCAGCTAGACTTCAAGAATATGAAGATGGCATGACTTGGTAAGACGTCGTGTTTCCTTATTTTGTATTGTTTTACCTTTATTTTGGCTCCTTCGTGGAGTCATCAGACGCTACCTCCAAGGGTGGATTTGAATCTAGAGGAGGGAATGCGGTAAGAATGTATGAATTGTGGGGGGAGTGGTGCATGCTAGAGTTCTCTACGCTTAGCATGATTTATCCTTTAATCAACCATTAACATCCCCTTGCGTGTTTACTTTCACTATTTAGAAAGTTTGGCTTCCACTTATGCTTGTTGTCTATAAAAGCTTGATTTGATTATGATTTGTATGTGCTTGATGATCCGTATTCTTGTCTTCTCCTTTTGATTTGTCTTGGACACAATTTTATTAGATTTGTGGGAAAGCTTCTGGGAAACCCTCACGACATGACAACTCGTCCTCATCGGCGGCCATGAGGTTTAAATGGCTTGTTGCTTACGCTAAAAGCAAATTCGGTTTTACTTTGTTAGTTCTTCTTCTTCTAGCTTTATTTTCTTGAGCACAAGCAAAAGACAAGTGTGGGGGAAGTTAATGAGTGGCGTTTATGCCACGATTAAGAGTTCATTCTTATGAGAATTCCGCATACTTGTAGCTTGTTTGCCCCCCTTTCTCTTACCTTTAGTTCTCCTTTCTTTTACTTTTTTTCTTTCCTAGATTTTCCCTCATTTCCCTGCTTTCTACTTTAACTTTCTTGCTTGTGTCTTGTAGGAACCGGGATTTTCAAAGAGGAGAAGGTTTTAGGTTGAAGGGAGCCACGAGAAGCAAATTCAAGAAAAGGTGTGGTCCAACCCTTCAGAGGTTCGAACTGAGGTGTGAACGAACCTACTCAAGTGTCCGACAAAACATTAGAGGTAGAGACATATCAGTTTTCAGCATTTTTGCAGGAGAGGTCGAACCACAGAAGTTCGACCGAACCAGGAGCAAGGAGCTTCGACCGAACCAGGAGCAGGGAGGTTCGACCGAACCAGGAGCAGGGAGGTTCGACCGAGCCTACCCTTGGTTTAACTGAACATACCCAGATGTCCGACCGAACCTACCCAGAGTTCGGTCGAACCTTTTCCCGATTTCAGCAAATTTTGTACGGGCTATATAAGCCCCCTTTAGAACGTTTTAGGCGATTAGATTAGGTTAGTTTTAATATTTTGATTTTTAGCTTAATCTAGAGATAGAAACTCCATTAGTTTTGGCATTTTAGAGAGAGAAAGTGTGGATTACTCCATTGTTGAGCTTGAAATTTGAAGAAGAAGCTTAATCAACCTCTTTGTAGAACTTTAACTTCAATGAATGAGCATTTCCTTACTTTTTTCTCTTTACTTTACTACTTGATTTTGTATTAAATTTCTTTTATTTTGTTAATTACTCATTAATCGTGCTTTTGCTTGTTAATATCATGATTGACTTGATGATTGCCATGGATAGTGAGTAGTTACTTAGCCAAGGGTGTGGGGATGATGTAGTTGGAGTGTGTTCATGCTTATATTGTAAGGATTGAAGTTGATTGTGATTTAAGTCTTTACATGCTAGATTGTTCTTTGATCTTCTTGCAAAGTGCACGTTGTTAGTTGATTAAAGGTGAATCTTTGCTACATGAAACGGAAGTTCATTTAGCTAAGTTCATTTGTATCGATGGTTACTTGATTTTACCTCCCAATATATGGTTCTAATGTGGAAGCATAGAGGCTATGTTAAGAGAAGCTAATTAACTCCAGAAGGTGGCTAGATTGGAATTTATATATCGATATTCATGCATGTTTAGTTCGTTATCGATTTGTTTCTATGCTATTGCGTGTTTTTATATCGATATTCATGCATCCATTTGTGCTTGTTCATTTGCAAAAGTCCATTCATGAACATTAGGTTTCTTTCCTTTTCTTTTTGCTTCTTTTTCAAGCTTTGCCTTCTTTGTTTGGTTTGTGAGAGTTATGGGTTAATATCTTACGGAACCCTGACGATAGCATCACTCATCCTCTAGGGCGATCTAAGGGTGTAAATGGCTTGCCTTTAGGTTCTAAAATGGATCGTGATTGCTACGAAAGTGAGTTAGTGTATATTCTTGTCTCTTCTCTTCTCATCTCATTTTGTTTGTTTGAATAAGCTTATCATTTTTCCCCTGTTAAGGTTTTGCTCGAGGACGAGCAAAAGTTAAGCTTTGGGGAATTTGATGAGTGCCATTTATGGTTCTCATTTGATGAGAATTTAGGTTGTTTTTACCTTCTTTTCGTAGCTTTCTTTCTTAATAAATGCTGAGTTTTATGAGATTTCTTTATATCTCCCTTTTCTCCCTTATTTTTTTATTTTTTTCTTGTGTTTTCTCTATTATTTCTTCTCTTATCGTGGTTGTAGGTATTAAACGCGGTTCGAGCCTTGATGTTGGTGGTTTTATAAGGTGGAAGATGCTTTTGGAGTAAGCTTTTAGCATTGGGAAAGCACAAGATGCAAGGACGTGGGTGCTCCAAGTTCTAGCTCTTGCGCTCTCAAGTTGTGCCCTCATGAAAGGTAGTGTTTCAACCACTAGTAGAATAAACTTAATGGGCAGCCACAAATGGCAAGCGGTTTTTGAATTCCGCTTGCTAAAATATAAATGGCAAGCGGTTTTGGATGAACCACTTGCCAAAATGCAAATGGCAAGCGGTGTTGGATGAACCGCTTGCCAAAATATAAATGGCAAGCAGTTTGAGCATTGAATCGCTTGCCATTGGTTAAAAAAACCCTTACACACCCATCCCACATATTCACTCGGCGCCTCTATCCTCTCTCTCCCCTCATTTTCACGATTCTCCTCTCTCTCTCCTCTCTTCCTCCTTCACTCCTCAGTTCTCTCTCCCCCTCCCCCTCCATCTCCTTCTCTTGCTTCTCTCAGCCTCCTTTCTTTGCTTTCTCACGCCTCACCACAACAGCGACGAGTGACCAACAACCTTTGACGAGCGACTATAAGAAGGCGGTAGGGTTCAGATCTTTCGGCTCGACGTTTGGGTATTACGCTACTTCTCATGTCATTCTCGCTTTAATTTCCGGTATTTCGCTGAATTTTGTAGCTAATTTTCAAGTTTTTGAAGTTTAGATCTAATTCATCCTAATTTGGCAAAACTTTTGTGGTTTTTAATTTAAGATCTAAAATTATTGTTGTTTATTTTTAATTTAAGTTTAGATCTTAATTTTTAGCTAATTTTCGAGTATTTATTGTTTGGATTAGCGCAATTTTTTTTCTCAAGTTTGTGCTTGTTTGGCAGATATGGGTGAATCGGGATAGGGTGCTGGTGGTGGCGATACAGGTTAAGGTGGTGGCGGTGAAAGCTGGCGCGTGCGACTGGTGGTTTGCATGCTGGTGGTGGAACTGGAACAAGAGTAGAAAATCAGAAATTATTTTATTTATTAATTTATATGTTGTATTTTTTTTTTGAAGGATCAGAAAATGTAATATTGAAGAAATTGATTAATGAAAATAGTTATGGTTATACATATGTTAAGTTATTGTGTATCAATTTAATTGAAAAAAAACAGTTTTTTTTTTTTATAATTATTATAGGTGTAATGTGCAGCGGCTCAGAGCCCAAACCGCTTTCCATAACCTTCCAATGGCAAGCGGTTCTGAATCACTTGCCATTTAAAATGCCAATGGCAAGCCCCCCAAGGGCATGCGGTTAAAAACCGCTTCCCATTTAGGAGGTTTGAACCGCTTGCCATTAAGTTTATTTTACTAGTGAACCCAATGTAATCCCCCGTATTTTAAAAATATTTTACAAATGAAACTTTATTTTATTTATAATATTTATTTGTTATATTCCGGAATTTAATTTCAAAAGTTTTAAATTATTAATATGGGTCAAAAATTATTTGAACAAATTATTTTATGCACCTTTATTCTACTATTTATGTCCAATCAAACAAGCTTAACCCATTTGTTTACTTAATTTACCCATTATTTTTATGAGGCTCAATCTTCCTATTTACCCTACAATTCTCTCCTATAAATACCTCATGAATGCTCAAAAATTTCCCACACAAAAAGGTTGTTTTATTTTCTCCTTTGTTTTATTAATTTGTGTAATAATAGTTATTGATTTATGGGTTTTAATTTTATTGTTTGAAATTAATTTAATTAGTATCAATTGTATTTTGATGATTAAACATTATAATTTTAGATTTTATAAATGTCATAATTTCCAGATTTTGTAAATTTTATAGGAAAAATTCATGGGAATAATCCCACCTTTGGGCCGTTCGTTTTTAATAATCCCACCTTTCGATTATTTTTTAATAATCCGACCTTTACCCCCAATTCTTTTTTAATGGTCCCATTTGACCAGAAACCGGTTAAACCGGTCAATTTTTTTTTTGTTTACAATACACGTGTCACTATACAATTTGTCTAAAATTTTAAATTAAAAAAAAAAAAAAAAAAGGCAGTCCTCCAGCCACCTCCTCCACAAGTCCCCGCCATTACCACCACCCCAAATCTCCATTCGCAACCCAGCCCCATCCCCACCATAACCACCACCCTAAACCCCCCACCCCGAATGCAACCACCACGAACCCTAACCCCCTTCGCGAATTCACCCACCTTGAAACTAGCCATCTCGAACCACCACCATAACAATGGTGTTGATGGTACGAACGGTGATGGTGAGGTGAATGTGATGGTGATGGCCGAAATTGACGCGTTGGAAGGGGAGGGAGCCGGAAATGGAACGGGGGAAAGGGAGGAGGGTCGAAATCGGACGAATGCTGTCTTGGAGGTGGTCGGCGGTACGGTGGAGGAGAAGTTAGGGGAGAGGAAGAGAGAGAAAATGGGGTCGGAGGAGAAGGATAAGAGGGGATTGGTACGGTTGTGGTGGTAGGATCGAGGCGAGGGGAAGAGAAGGGGGCTGGAAAACGTGGTGGGGGAGGGGGCCGGAAGTGAGATGGCGGAAGAGGAAGGTTGCCGGCGCAGCAGCCTCCCAACGGTGGCGGCAAGGGCTGGCAGAAGAGGGGGTTGCCATGAACAGGGGCTGGGTTTGTTTTATTATTTATTTTTTTAAAACTTTTAAAATTTTTTTTTTGACCAATCACAGGCCGCCACGTGTCATGTAACCTGTTATAACAGGTTACATGACCGGTTGGGACCATTAAAAAAGAATTGAGGGTAAAGGTCGGATTATTAAAAAATAATCGAAAGGTGGGATTATTAAAAACGAACGGCCCAAAGGTGGGATTATTCCCATGAATTTTTCCAATTTTATAACCAAGGGTTTTTAATTATTGAAAATCATGATTTCGGGGTTTTTATGAGAAATTGAATTGGGGCTTTTATAGTAATGATGTTTTGAAATTTTGACGAATATAACTACTGATTAGTTTAACTTAATTCCAGATTATTTTGAACTCGTAAATTCGTCTTTTAATTTTTAGATTTCCGTTCGTTAATATAAATCCCGATCAGCATCTATACTCATTCGATTTTGATAAAAAATAAAAAAAGTAATTTTTTCCATGTGGAAAAATCGTTTAAAGAAGGTTTTTTTTATTTTCGGGCAGTTTTTGATTTTTAACGAAGCTTTTTATGCTTAAAGTATTATCCTTGAGTTAAATTAATAAAATTAATTATGTTTAAAAATAATTAAGCATAAGTTTGTGTTTTTATTGAAGTTTTAAGAGGTTTTTATCATGATGTATTGTTGGAAATTACTTGGGTTAGTAATTTTAATTGTTGGTTGTTTTTTAGGAAGTGAGTATTTCCTATGAGACTTTTGAGTATAAAAGTGATGTGTTGATAAAGTTTTGAAGGGTTTTTATTTAATCTAAAGTGCTAGAAATAGTATCTAAGTACTACTTTTGATGTTTTATAAAGAGGGTTTAATCACCCATTAAAAAGGAAGATTATTAGGGATAAATAATTGTCAGATCTTTATTAAACTTTAAACTTGCTGTAATTTAATGAATAAGAGTGTATTTTAAGGTTTTTATGATTACAATATAAAGAACTAAATAAAAGCCTTTAATTATAACTAAAGGGGAGGTTTTAAAGTATTATTTGATTTAGATTTTGAAGGTTTTTGTTGGGGTTTGGTGAGTCCAACTCACCGCGGATATAAACCCAAAACCAACACTACACTCCCAATAAATAAAACCATAAACATAATTAAATTAATCACAAGATTAAGATAAGATAATTTCCTTTGGAGTGTGCTTTGCCCAAACGGAACGCGATCTTACTTCGAAAGCAAGCCTCGAAAATACAACGGCCTCCTACGATAGTCCACCCACAACTCAACCACTAAAAATGGTCCAATGCCTTGGAGTTAGCAAGGCCGACCAAAAACCCGAGTGATTAATGAGTTCAAAGGTTTTCACAATGGTGATGCCTTTTTCAACTCTCACTCAAGTGATTTTCCCAATATCCCAACTTGGGTATTTCTATGGAAAATAAGAGAGTGAAAAGCTCTCCCATCAATGTAGGAGAATTTGATTTTTCCATTTTATTTTAAAGCTAAAATAAAATTAATATTCAAACTTGTAATAAATCACCAAGTGGCAAGCTCATGTGAGAGGTTAGGTGAGGACCATTTAAAGGAGGGGGAACCAAACTTGCTCCCCACTCTCTCTCCAAAAACCGGGCAACACACCCCTTCAACCTCCTCTCAATTCGCGCCATGTGGAACCCACACTTGGGCACTAAGGCACTCAAGGTGGGATGCCTTGCCGCGGCTGCCCAGCAGGCCCAACACAAGCGTGCGGGCTGCTAGCGCTGCCAGCCAGCAAGCCCAGCAGCTTGTGCGGGCTGCTTACGCTCTCAGCCAGCGAGCCATGCACCAAGGATGCAGGCTGCTGCTGAGAGCTGCTGCTGGCCTTGCGCCTTGGCCCAGCATTGCTGCGGTTGGCGCGACTAGCCTTACGATGTTTGCATTGGTGCGCTAGCACGCACGAGCTTGCCTAGGCTCGGCTTGGTGCGCATGCTAGCCACCATTCTAGGTCATATGCCCCTAGAACTCGGTTTTTCTCGGGGCATTCCGATGCTAGGGGTATTTTTGGTCGTTGTTGATTTATTATTATTTTCATGTCTCGCCTTTTTAAATTTTTTGACTCGACTTCCGAGTTCGGTTTCGAAGCTCTTAGCTCGAATTCCCGACATCTAAATATTAATTACTCTGTTGACTTATTAATTAATTCATAATTAATTAGTCACTTCGGTTCGTTAGTTGCTTGGGTGTGATCCGAAGGGTTCAGTCAAGATTATGCTGTAATATTAATTATGCATTAATAAAGCGGCCTCCACCCAGACATTTTGATCACTTGACCTTACTAAATATAATAGCTTTCTATTAATTCTGAACCCACTAACGGAATTGTACACTTGTTCGAAGGTCACCATTCCTTTCAATCTCCCACTTGTCCTTTTGGACAAGTGCGCAGTTAGTGTACAACCTTTTTCCTATGTCACTTAATGTCTCTTTATGAACCATAAGGTAAGATTATTTCGTCATCCTTATTACGTCTAAAAGTGTTTCTCGATTCCGAGTCCGACTGTCAATAAACAGATGATTACTAAAGTCCATCTGAGCACGTCCATGCATTTTAAAGTCTCGCTTTATGAGAGGCCTTGTATACAACAAAGACATATTCCCTATTTTAGTAGGGGGACATTCCCAGTCTTGTAATGTAACTCCTCTTACTGAGAGGACCTAGCTGCCTGAGTGTTGCTGTTATAATCCCCTATTACGGCAGACGTTTGACAACATCAAAGCGGACTAGTACTCAAACAAGAGAACTCACAATACTCATGGTCGAGGAAATAGGTTCCGATAGCCATAATGAGAAGTATACTTATGACAATTTTAAATCTCATAAAGTATTCGTATAGGTCGATCAAGTATGGTTCTAAACCAATACCTGTGCGAATGATTTATGACAATCATGTCCTTGTAGCACGAGAAACGGTGCTATAAATCAGACTACACACTAATCTCAATTGGTCATTAATCGTCCATTGTTTAAATTTAGGGACAATTTTCGATTATAATATTCAACGTTCACTTAATAGGTGTTTCCTTACCATGACTGGTCTTGATACCCTATTTTAAATATTCTAAAAAAATAATGGACCCATTATTTAATCCTAAACAACAATTAAATAGCAAACGGAGTGATAAAATATAGCATGAAATTTATATTACTCCAAAACATGAATGATTTTTCTTAGTGTCTTACATTAAATGTTAAAAATTTAACTAAAATACTAAACAAGGAAATCAAAGCCTGTCTCCTACATGCCTGATTCCCATTGCCTGAACGTGCTTGTTATCCTTCACTTGAGGCAAAGGTTTAGTAAGTGGATCTGCTACATTGTCATCCGTTCCAACTTTGCAAATTCTGATTTCACCTTCAGATTTCCATTCTCGAATCATGTGAAACCGCCGTTTGACATGTTTGACTTTTTGATGTTTCCTTGGCTCTCTGGCCTGAGCAATAGCTCCATTATTGTCACAATAGA